CAACAGCTCCCTGCAGGGCCTGCACGGGGCCGTCTCCACCGCCCAGCTCGGCCTGCAGCGGCACCAGCAGCTCTTCCACAGCCTCTTTGCGAATTTCCAAGGGCTCGTGGCAGCCAACGTCAGCCTAGACCTGGGGAAGCTGCAGGCCATGCTGGGCAGGAAAGAGAGGAAGGAGCACAAGGCCCTCGACGCTTCCCGGAGGAGGGACAAGAAGCAGGTGGGACCTTTGGCCGATGCCCACGTCCAGGGGCCGGTGCCACGAGCCCTGGGAGCCGAGCCTCAGGAGGCAGGTGAGTCCTGGGCCTGGGTTGTCGCCAGGCTGCTCCCGCAGAGGCTCCAGGGAGACGCGGGTGGGGGCGTGGCTGCCCGCAGCTTTGCCCACGGCCCGCCTTCTGGTCAGGGAGGGTCATCTGAAGCTGCCTGAGGCCTAAGGAGGGACGGGTCACCAGAGCCAGCCCTCGGTGGGCGGCAGAGCCCCTCCGTTTGAGGGGCGCACGCCTGGCGGCCTCTGCCGGTAGCGCAAGGAGGGGTCCTTTCCTCGCAGGCCACACCTCAAATCCCTCCGCCCAGCTCTTCAGTCCGCTGCACCCACCACGTGTCTTCTTCCAGGGCGTGGGTGGGGCTGGTGTCACTGGCCGTGGCGCACCCCACTAGGGAAGGCCTGGACCGTGAAAGGAGCTCCTTCTGCTAACAGTTGGCCCACTTTAAAACCCGTGCGTGTCCCCGGCAGTGCCCTTCCCGGGCTTGTCACACGGAATCATCACAGCAGCTCAGCGATGCCTTATCACCGCCATCTTACCTGAAGCTGAGGCTCCCGGGCCGGTGAAGGCAGAGGAGCCTGAACCGAGCGCTGCTCGCTGAGCCCTCGCCCTTGCCTGGGGGGCAGGGCCCTGCAGGGCCCTGGGCACCGGGTTCTGAGGCGGAAGCTATGTGCAGCCAGCCCCCCATGCTCTCCTTAGTGTGGCCCTGGGCAGGGGACCAGGCGGCTCTGGGCTTCAAGTGACCGCCCCTTGCCAGAGGCTGGCCTTGGGGCTCTGGCCATCCCCCAGCCCAGACATGGGCTAGATAAAAGGCCACCCTCGGGGCGGCCTGAACCCTGCTGTAGCCTGGCATGTGGGATGCCCGAGGCCTGGCGGAAGGTCCCACCCCAAGCCAGCTCCCTCCATTGTGGCCCCAGAGACCTGTGTCTCCCCGGTGGTGGTGACAGGGCACAGGCTCTAGCACCATTTGTCTCGGTTTCTTCATCTGTAAAATGGGAGAATCGTATCAAGGGCTGTTGTGAAGACAAACAGACCCATTTCCCAAATAGCACGAGGCTTACCATTTAGTAGAGCCAGCGGGGCCTTCATGTCTCCCAGCATTTTCAGGGCTGAACTGTGCCCACCTGCACTAACGCTTCCATCTTGAGTCCACGTGTGAGTGGTGCCTGGCCTCAGCTGCCTGATGGTTTAGGAGTCTGAGTTTACCACTACAATATTTTGTTTAAAAAAGTTCCCTTAAAATTAAAAAGAAAACTTCTCTTATTTGAGTTGCAGGAAGGCCATAGGGCTTGAGTTTGTACCTACAGGGAAGCCCACTCTCAGGCCGCCTGCTCGCCAACCAGGAAGCCCCTTCCTGCCTCTGAGGGCACGTGGGCCCACTGGCTGCTGGAGG